TGGCCATCAGCGAGAGGTGAAACAACTCATCAAGGGCAAGCTATCGCAGTTAATTCTCAAAGCTGCCAGTTACTGTTTGTGAGAAATTCCCTCTAGAAACAACTAAAGCATGCAGCTATGCTTCCGAATGAGCACCCCACATTCAATAAGTTCTAAGAGCAATCCATCACAAAATTTGTTCGAATTTTACTACTTCAATAAAAGTTTATGCTTGGACGATTCGAGTCTGATTGAACGAATCAGTTCATTCCGAAGTCATTAGTATGAGAAACCGTGCATCAGTTTCTNNNNTTTCTGACCGAACTGTTGGGACGAAACGAGAATCTTCTGTTCTTCAATGATGGTGGTTACCAGAGCTCGAAACCCTCCGCTTTCCTCCAATCATCACGGTCAAAAGCTGTCAACTGCCTCCGTGGACAATCTTCTCTCACCTGAAATCATCTTCATTTTGCACTGCAAATGCCAAAAAGCCACGTTTCGAACCCTAATTATCACAACTTTTATCGTGCCGCTTTTCTGAATGACGGAACAGAATAGAACAGTCAGAACAGTATAGCACAGTTTAAGGGGGGTAGAATAGAACAGAATAGAACAGTTAGAACAGTATAGCACAGTTTAAGGGCGTAGAATAGAATAGAACAGAACAGTTCTCAAACGAGAAACGCTCAGGATAGAATAGAATAGAGCTATTTTGGAGCGGAAACGAACAGAATAGAACAGTTTTCAAAAACGTGGTACAAAGACATCACTAAGTATTAGGTATGAGAATTCTGTCATATGGTGATGCTGTGCTCGTTACAAACATTCATTTAACAGTGACAACATTCTATATTCTTTGCTAGACGTTCGAATCATTGCAGAACGAATATGTAAAACATCTTTTATTTTTTCTATCCGCAGATGAAGTCACCAGGGAATTCTTAATCAAGTATTATCTCTACACTTATTCAACTGAAACTGATGAAGTTTAGAATGAATCAGTGAGGAAATGAATCAATACATGAAAATAATAATTTGGAAGCGATCTCTCAAGAACATTTTGCTGTTGGAATTTGGGCGACCGTTGCTTGTACTGCACAGTTGTGAGGGCAGCTCAGCCTAAATAGCAGTGAGAATGTGAATGCAGAAACAATAACAAACACAGCGAATCAGTGGTGTGAATTTTGTGAACCGCAGAACGTATATGGTCACCTTTCTCGCTGGTCATATTGTATGCCCCTCTCGGAGCACATAGTAAATTCAATGCTTGCACAAATCACGTTTCTGTATTGCTTTTGGTTTTAAAAGCGCATGAATTAATAGAATATGCATTAGGAATATCTTGAACTATAGCTCAAAATCTGTATTTTCCTCTCGGTCGAATTCATTTCACCATCGTCATCTGTCCAAGCATGGCCATCACCCTCATCAGTAATACTTTCGAATAAACGTTCACTGTTTTCATTGCTTGACGATACTTTAGCACAAATAACTACATAACGAGTACACAGCAAAGATCACACAGCAGAATCAAAAATTCTTGTACTTCTCATGAGTAATTCATTGAGAAAGTTATCCCCAGATGATCAATTGTTTTGCTACTTTGCGGTATATGACCTTCATGATGGAATGATGCTTAATAGCATTCACGAGCATATGTTAAAATTCCGTTAAAAATCTCGTATTACAAATGCACAATGATATGCATACAGCTGAGCCTAAGAGGCCCGCTTCGTCTCCGATACTATCAAAAAATTTCAGTCATGTAAAGATTATATTATTTAAGAAGTGAAAAATTTTTTAGATATTTTTTCTAAAAGATATTTTTTAAGATAATTCTTCTAGAGCTTAAAAAGATATTTTTGTCATCACTCATCTGTTATTTAAAGCAATTAATGCATTTTTGATTGCACAGTCGGCTTTATTTGTACAATCATCAGTGAGTGGGTTTATCCGTCATCAGGTATTTCTGAACTGATAAGATCGTAACATTTAATGTCCACATATATAATACTAACGCAGAGTTCAGATGGTCGCAATAAATCGAGAGATCGTCATCGAGTGTCGAAATATCGACCTCATGACCATTTTCTAGTCGAACAAAATTTGGCAATTGAGGTAGTTTTCCGTGACCAATATTATAACTAATGATTAAAAGTTTATCCATGGATATTTAATCACCAAATTTCGGTGCCATAAAATTCACATCACAAACTCGCAAGTGCTAATTTAGATTCCTGGATATTTCTAATAAATCTGTATTGTAATTACGCGTTGACGATGAACTAGACAATATGTCTTCGTAAATATTGTGGATGCAATTTTTTTGAAAATGTCATGTAAAAAAACTTATGTTTAAGCCGTCCGTCTGGTTGATGCTGGGTATGGTCAGCTGCAAAAGCAATTATAATGTTCTTCTTTTTCATTGAAAAACTGCTCAAATATAGCGAGAATGCATTCGCAATATCAAAAACCGAATGTTTGAAAANAAAATGGATAAATGCTCTCCACACACTGTTTATTTTCACTGTCCACTGCCCCTCCATCCCCCAAATGGAATTAAAACTTATGCACCCTCTTTGAACAAAATAGCATGCACATTAGGGAAACCTGCCGTATGTTCATGGTGCCGGTAACTATTAATGGTATTTATTTGATTGTTTGAGCGCATTGTTTAAGAGGAGAATCTAAGAAGGAGTCTGCCAAGATTTGAAGAAATTTTTAGGAAAATGCACTAGTTTCATAACTTCTTCGTATCATCTACTCATAAATATCACTGTTATTAATACTGTTGGTCACAAGAGTGTTATTATCGACAATATTTTAACGGTGATGGAATTTTATCGATACTGATAAGAGATTCAACATCAGTTTCAACTATTAATGTTATCTTTGTTGAGATAAGTTGTGCTTTGTCAATATCTAGCAATAACAACCCATTCTTATCTAATTCTCGTGTTCGTTTCGTTTGATATCAACAGAATTCACGTGCTTTGTTGCGATATTATTGCACCATCTTTTACGTGATGTTAGTGAGTTTTTGTTGCTATCGTATTTTTGATTGCTTTTTGTTTTTCATTATTATTATTATTATTATTATTTATAATTTCGCTGCAATTTTTATAGATGAATGTGATTATCTTTTACCGCCTACTGTTGAATTTGTAGGTATGTTCAAAACAGAAGCAAACAGCAGCAATTTAAGAAGGGATGCGACCGGAAATAACTTAAATCAAGTTAGTATTTGTTATACTAGTAATCAAGCGTTTGAAGAGGACGACCAGCGACCAAGGTTCAATCATTTAATCATTTGCTCATTTATATACCATCAAAATTTTGTTTCTATCAGGCATTCATCTAGACAGATGCAGAGAAGAGTGTGTGTATTATGCGTTGTACTTCTGAGAAATTCTGTCGAATGAATAAACTCGAGATCAATCATAAACCTAAATGGATTTATAAATCACGCATTTCCATATTCATGCAATTCATTGGCAGCTCAACGATTATGCATATAGTTATTTTGTATATTATGGATTAGACTTACCACAACATGGTATCGTGCGTAAGTGGTGCAAAATAAACTGGGTTATGTGCAGGTTCTGTTGAAAATTGATAGAGATGAGGACCGCAGCTACCTACGATACGATTCGAAGCAAATTGCAAGTTTCGACAGTCTCAGTCTGCAGATGAATCGTGTTTAAGCTAGTTCTTCCATTTATGGGTGCTACGATCGTTCAATCTATAAGTATCCTTTTTATTGACAGTCTAGAACTGTGACACTCAAAATAACGATGCTGAGATTGATTTAAAACAAGGTCTTTACTCTGATTGGCTATGCTATGCTTGCAAACGTTGTCATTGCTAGTTAATAATAGCATAATGAATTACAGGCCACGAATTCCAACGTTAGCCTCAATTCTTATTCAACGCAGAATGACCTTAGCAACAGATTGGCGTTCAATTCATGTGGCTACATCGATCGCATTTATTACTTCGATCCAATTTAGCATGTATTTTTCATCGTTATGGCCTTATCTACAACAAGTATTTTCCTGTTTTGTCATTATTATTACCGTTATTCATGATCATATTCTTGTTGTAATAATGATGCTGCTTATTCATTTTCGTGCCATTCATTTGTTGCTAACATTAGCCTGATTCATATCGTTTATCTCGTATCTGAAAGTAGCTAAAACGTTTCACTTCATGATATTGAGAAGTTGATAGTTATAGCGATTGCTCTTAATTTGAATAATTACTTTAGTTTATCATTTTTCAAAGTTTTGTTGCTGATAAGCGAATTATTTAATGATTGCTTCATTGTTTTTGTCAGATGGATCGTTCAGCGACTGAAAACTTTTTCGGCATAATAACAGCCGTCTATAGCCTTGGTCAAGCACTCGCATCGCCATTGTTTGGCTTTTGGAGTGTTCGTATTGGTGCTACAAAGATACCGATATTAACTGGTTTGGTGATAATGTTCGTTGGTAATTTAATTTATACGGGTATTGATCTGGTCAGTGTAAATCAACGATATGTTATGCTCGTGGCAAGATTCATCACTGGTTTGGGAGGAGGTTATTATTATTACTAATCATTATTATTTGTTATTATTGTTATTCTTTTATGAGTATTATTATTACTATTGATGTTATCATTACAATTATTGTTCTTCTCGATTATTCACCAGCTAGTTATTTATTCACCTGCATCTTTTCGATGTTAAGGTGCAATAAGTGTAATTCGTTCATATGCAATAATGGCGAGTTCAGTAAAAGATCGTTCAAAAGCCATTTCCGAAAATACAGGTGCTTTCGCCCTTGGAATGACATTTGGACCAGGCTCGTTATTTATGTCTATTGATTAGTATTCTTGTTATCACGATTATCAACACTATTCATCGTAGATAACTGAGTGCAACGATTAGCTAGAAATAAACTATACGTAAAAATATTAAATTATGCAAGCAACAAAAAATTTCAGCCTTTCAAATCGGTTTAACATTCCTGGGATATCCCGGTTGGGGTTTACATCGCTACCGCTTGAACATGTATACGGCTCCAGCATTTTTGGCTTGTTTTACGGATTTAGTTGCCATTATTCTGCTATTGACAATGTTCAACGAGCAATATGTAAGTGTCGAAAAAAAGAAGAATACTGCAGGCGCAACTCAAGGTAGTTACATCAACTCAGATTCATACATTTCGTTTATGGACTCGTTTAGAGACTGTTGGAAAATGTGCTCAGTTGAATTTTATATGTAGTAGAAGCTTCTTGAATGTGCGATTGAGTTCAGAGGTTCAATAGTTCAACAAAAAACTTATGCATGTTCTGCGAAATCCGTCGAATTATGTGTGAGTGATAAGTGAAGATTGACACTGAACGACGAGTATTGATGGTCATTAATTGTCATCAAGAAAGTAATAATTAAACGACGAATTGCTGCATTTTAGCCAAATTGTAATACATGATTTTGAGGAAGTGAACGTTTTTCGGCGATTCCAAAATTCGATCGAGTTGCTGCACTGATCTGTATCTGTACAAGATTCACACAAATGTATTGCTTCACGAATTTAGAAACGTGAATCGTTTATTGATTTGTTCATTTATCCATTTCCTAATTGCAATATGTAGCGAAAATATTACGCAAAGATGAAAAGGTTATTTTCCAGGACAGTTTGTCAGTAAAATTCGGAAATGAACTTTTATATTGCTATTAATCGCTTTTCTGCAAGTAACCGTTTATCGCTAAAAGTTAGGAAAGTGGGAAAGACGCATGAATTTCGCTGTCTGGGAAAGTACAGTTTTCATCCTCAAGCAGTGTGAAGAATGTGTTGTTTATGTGCCTTGTGAGATACAGAATCTGAATTTGGAATCAGATTTTATCTGTCACCCGCCAATCTTCTGCGAAAAGCAATTGAACTCGCGAGGTACCAAATTGAAATTTATGTTCTAATTCTTCCTAACCACAGTATGAGAGAGCTGTACTACTGAAAAGAATTGCAAACGAAACACACACGGTGAGAATAAATAGTTTGTTCTTCAGATGCAGACATGGTTTGTTGATTGGAGATGTTGCCGTGAACCTCAGGAAGATTTTCCTGGAATAGTACCATAACGGTGGTAGCGGCAAGAAACGGAACTCCTTTTTGGATTTTATATGCACAACTGCTGGGGAATGCAATTTTATCACATTTTTCATCATTTCTCTGCTGTTGGACAGAGAAAAGACTACAAATCAAATCATCTCCAAAAAATCAAATCGAAAAAAGCAGGGTCATTCGCAGAAGGCGGTATATAGCAGTGAAAAAAGTGCTGTACACAGAAATCGCTTCAGAAAATGACCTTCTCATCATTGCGTATTTTTATGTTGCGCAATGCTATTTATTTGTGCAATCATTTGTCGTTCAGTCGCTGAGTTCTGATACGGACTGCAAATGGTTTTGTGAGTACATGATGAAATATAAGTATGTTTTTTGAATAAATGAAATGTTTTTCTTAAGGATTGGTTCGCCATATTCGATGACAATATTCAGCTGGACGGCTGCACAGGCTGTTTTGTATAATTCAGTAATGCAGGGTGGTTTTGGTTTATTCGGATTTTTGATCTATGTTGGATATATATTCTGTAACATTAATAAATGGTAAGAAATTCCATTGAATTTTTCTCATTATCACTGTTAGTAATCGCGCACTATTCAGTGGTTCAGTGTGTTTATCGTTGACATAATGTCGATAAAGATACTGTGGCTAAAATCATTGCGCAACTCATGGATGCAATAATAGTAGAAGTGATGATATCGTATTATACTTTCGGCTGATTATGTGAATAATTTTTCGTGTATTCAATCAAAGAAAAACTTCGTTGTTTCATTGATTCATTCTGAATCGCAAGATTTAACTCGGTTTAGGGGTCTCAAATTCTTATGAAATGAGGAAGAAGAGTTTACGGGAGGCTCGCTTCCATCAGTTCGTCCCTGGAAGCTCCGTCTTGGCAATGATCACCTTTGACTACAGCAGTTCTTCCTCGCTAATTCTTGGGCAGTAGTATTTTCAGGATTCCTCGACCTTTTGACCTCCGGTCGAGATGCAGGACATTATTATTGAACTCCAACCACAGCTGTGAATGAGTGTAATTTCTGTTGAATTCTAGGTTGAATCAACGTATTGGTTGCATCTTTGGTCTTGCGTTAATAGTTGTCTTTCATCTGATAACATTTCCATGGTGGGGTCTACCGGGTACGATACCGTATTGGAAATCTAGTGAGTTTTTTGCTGTTGAGGATGTCCGCATATTGCGATTTTTTTGCTACTTCAATTCGTCCGTCCATTGAAAGCAACTTCCAAATGCAATTTTTAAACTGCATTTCAGCAATAGAAGGGAATGGCACAACGTCCACAAATTCCGAACCAGTCGGTTGCAGACCTTCGTTTGAGTGGTGTGCCTATACCCCTCCAGTGAACGTTTATGTATACATTATCTCATATGTATTGCTCATTGGATTCGCATTCCCGGCCATAAATATCACAATGAATACAATTTATTCGACAGTCATTGGTCCAAGGCAACAAGTAAATAAGCACCAATTCAGAGAAAACTAAATACATATCCATGAATTTCCTGTAGAATCAATTGAGTCTCATATTCGAAGTTTGACACATAGAATTTGATATGTTTGCAGTGAGTCGGTTTCTTTGATACTTTTGTGAATATTGATTCCTTTTTACAGGGCACAATGCAAGGACTGCTTGTTGTTTCAGGGAGTTGTGCTCGTCTATTGGGTCCAATCTTTGTTTCGTGGGTTTCATTTTTCTTTCAATACTCATCGATTCATACACTTATTGTAACAGCTGTGACTCGCAAAGCTGACCTTATTTTTAGGTGAATTGCAACTGTAAATTTATTTAATCTTTTGTTTCAGAAACTTATTTAGCGCCTATGGACCACGAGCCGCTTGGGTAATGGAGTTGATCATATCGGGTGGAATGATTTTCGGCTGGTTAATATTTTATAAACGGATGGTACCTTTGAGGCGTCTGGAAACAATGAATGCGGGTGATGTTGTCCGATCGAAACTTGGCCTTGTTTATAAGTTATGATTGCATATTGCTTATGTAATGTTGTTGATGAATGAATGGATGGTCACATGCTTTATGTGTATTTGGAAAGTCAATGAATCTCGCATAAACACTGAACACGCATTGAAGTTTTAACAGCTGTGTTCTGCAAGATCAGCATATGTGGGCAAATATTATACGTTCATCCATTTGTTACTAAAAAGATTAATGCTTCAGAGAAGAATTTTAATCTTAGAGTGAATTTCGGATAGCCTTTACAGGTTTGTTTCTTGATTTCCTTTTTTTAACTTGATTTCTCAACAAATTTGTTCAACCCGAAGAAGCAGCGATTCTGAGGAATTGTTAGGAAGGCAGACGGACGAATGAACGTATTTCTTGAACAGTTGTTCGTTTTAAGAAAAGAACTTTTAATGAGGATCGAAAATTTAGTGATATGTAGAAGAAGAATAGGGCACAAGAAGATCATCTCGTTGAGTTTAGAAGGCCAGTAGGATCCAGTTTATTCAACCAACTTGCCAACCAGACTCAGCGAGGTCAACCTGTGTAATATGTCAGTTTTGAAAAATATTCAGCTGCTTGATGATTTTTGATGGTAGGACCTCGTTAAGATCAAAGATTAATGTTTTTGTTATTGATTGTCTTTTGACAATGCACTTGGATTTATTCTGTGGAACAGTAACGTTGAAAAAGGTAATGCGAAAACAAATAGAATAACGGAACGAAGTGCAACACTGCATTGGGCTGAACTTTTCTCGATTGAGACGGTGTTCAAATGCAAAGGAACAACAGATGTTCTGTGGTGGAGATAAGAAACTGTCAAGAACATTGTTTAGATACGACGCTATCTGGATGTTGGGGTCACAGCGATTACGAATATTGCATTCGCGAACTAAAGTATCGTGTGCTGAAATGAACGAAAAATATCCGTCGGCTGGTAGCAATAGTTGGAGCGTAAATGAAACTGCTAAATGAATTGAGATTGAAGGATGGTACACACAATACTGAAACAGTGTTTGTTGACGGAATAATTCGATTATGGAAAGAAACGAAGGCAAATCAAATCGGCATTATATTCAATCGCAAAATATTATATTTTGTTTTATTTAAGCTTAAGAAGCAATTTTGTTTTTGTTGATTCTTTTGAAATAGAATGACAAAAAGAGAAATTTTCGTTTCGTTATGAAAAGGTTAGTGAATTTCCTGGTTTTTGTTTTTGTTATTGGTATAGCATTGATTTTGTTTTTAGTTGCTTTCTGGAACGTTTCTGTTTCTCTTTCATCGTTTATCAGCGAAAGAACAGCAGTCGAACGAGATGGTAAATGATTGTGCATCGTATTGCATCGTCACCATTATCATCATCAGCATCATCGCAAAAACAATTCTTCGTCGTCGAAAAATGTAAAAAGTGACGCTGCTTACTGCAATATGCTTTTAGCTGAGCAGTTGACAACACTATTGCAAATAATAAAGTCGATAAAATTTTCATGAAAACGCTGGACGAGTTTTGATGTAATGATGTACAACCATTTTCTTATTGAAATTACTAGAGACTAACAATAAGAGGAATTGTGGTACAAAATAATCGAAAATGAATCAACGTCCATTTAGATTTATGAAAAATGAAATGGATTTTCACTCAAAAAATACAAGCAGATCTTGCACACTACCTAATCTTCGTTATCTTGATGACTTTGAGCCGTAGTTTTGTCTTCATCTTACAATCAGTTTTTTTGCGAACTCTTGGTTTCTGGTTTATCGACCTTCTTCTAATTGCTTCCACTCTAACTTTATCAACCAAGTCATTTTTTGAAGGGCGATCCTCGTTCTTGGGGCTTTCTCTTTTTGTGCTTTGTACTACTTGAGGAAAATATCAATAACTCCTGAAAGCTGCGATAAATAGTATCAGTTAAGCGGAAGCAACAATAATTATTGTAACAATTAAAATAAAAATTGAGTAGTGCTAATTAGTCACTGAAATAATGATGAGCATAACAATGAGCCAATATCAAACTATTATATTGAAAAGTGTAAAATATGGTTCGACAGTCACTGTGAAGCAAAGGTACAGTCCAATATGATGCATGCATCCATGCTGCATACGATGTATTCAGCAAAACAAAGGATTATGTCAACATTTTATTCGATTTTGCTATAATATCTTCGGTGAAGAGAAGAAGAATTACGC